GTTCATCGCCAAGTTATTAAACACCTTCATCGACCTTGCACAATTTGTCAATAAATTACTTTTTTATTCTTCTTATTATTTTTCTTATGAGAAAGGCTTGGATCATCAATGTCCTTTCCTTCCTTACATTCTTTATTTTTCCTATAATGATCCCCACGGTCACTTTTCTTGTTTATATATTTGATAAGCACACCACAAATCCCGTGTCCAGTCAAGACCCTGAACCTTACCCTTAAGGAGTGGTAAGAGTTACCACCCAAGCTAACAATTCTTCGTTTGTTTGTAAACTCTAATTTCCCACAATTCTTGTTCCTTAGGAATCTTAAATACTACCAAATGTGCAACACCCCGCTTCCCAACAAACCCCACAACATCACCTCAGCATGAGATAATTCTATAAGAGCAGACGGTGAATTGTATTTGGTACAGTTGGAGTTGAATGTGAAATCACAAATCCATGGATCTTCAATTATCATTACACCATTTCAATGCATAAACTGGTTGCTTGAAGGGAGTTGTGTCCTTGCTCATGGCATACCTGTGTTTGTACCCACAGATTTTTAGAATATGTACGAGTACTTTGACTAGGAAGCTGAGGCTTGAAGGAGAATGAAGCTCACCCCTCTGCATTACGCCCTCATTCTGGGCCTCTACATATTTTTCGATCTCCTCTCAATGTTCATAGATACACACAAAGCATCAACTGCAACTGTCTTATGCCCGACCATTTCATCTGATAATTGCATTAAGCAGACTAAGATTGCTGTCATGTGGTTACAAATAAGAGCAGCTTGTTGCTTGTGGTAACACTGCATCTATCAGCTGTTGCACTCTTAACACAGCCAACCTGAGAGAAATTTTGCAGATTACTCTATCATTGTCTAGAACACTCGTGAAAATATAAATTTTTTATCTTAAATATTTCAAGAAAGTCTGTGCTTATTACGTACCTGCAACGTGAATTACCCATTCTCTGTATTGCATTATGTTGAACTGTCAATTTGATGTTTGTCAATTCATATTTTGTTGCATTTGGGTATTGCACAAGAAAAGCCAATCTTATATTTTGTTTTAACCATTTAGGCTGGTTTAGTTCGAGAAAAATCATTTGGAACCACAAAAGATCGGATGCTTTATATTGAGCACTGTGCAAATTCGAAGGTCGTAACCATTTTTATTCGTGGCGGTAGGTTGATGTGTCCTGTTACAATTATTTCTTTTTTGCTCATTATATTTGTTGAAAGTAAATATAATGTTTGATGCATGTTCTAAATGCTGATGTATTCTATCACATCCTATCTTTTATTCTTTTCAAACTTGATTTGGGAAAAAAAATAATACATTTTATTTCCCTTTTGGTGCTATATTATGTGGCTTCTAGATTTGGCATGGCATTTGATTGTCCCAGTAGTCATGTGCAAGTTACATGACTTCTTTTTTGAAGACCTAGTGAACAAGTTTCTTAACAATTCAATGTAATAATGGAGCACGTGTTGTCATTATTTGGTATACTAGACTTTTTTTCCTGGCAGTGCCATTTTGATGGCATATTTGAATACTCCTCTGATATGAGATTGGTTAGCCAATCTTTATGCAAACTATCCCTGTGATAATACCACCTGGAAACTTTACTTTCCTCGTTACGCAATTAGGTGGGGATATGCATCCACATGCTGACACATTATCGAACATGAAAAACAGTGCAATTGAACATAAAAAGTGAAAAAAAAAAAAATGATTGAATAAGATAAAATATGAAAACAAAAAGAATAATAATAATAATAAAACGGAAGAGAGTGCAGAAGAATAATGCAAAGGAATCGAACATATAATGAAGATAACAATAAAGGAATAAGGTTCTGGTGATTGATGATGCATTAGGTAACAATATGATGATAGAGGAGACGAAACAGAGTATCCATGATGCATTGTGTGGCTAGGAATCTCATTTGCAACAATTCTATTGTATATGGTGGTGGTTCTGCTGAGATCTCTTGCTCAATTGCTGTGGAGAGTGCTGCTGATAAATATCCAGGTGTTGAACAGGTATAAAGATGTTATTCTTTTGTCTTTCTTACTCTTATTAATGTATTTTAGAACTAAGAATTTTCCTTTCATCTGCAGTATGCCATTAGGGTGTTTGCAGACGCCTTGGATTCCATCCCCATGGCACTTGCAGAGAATAGTGGTCTCCAACCCATTGAAACTCTATCTGCAGTGAAATCTCAGCAAATTAAGGTAATTTGGACATTATGGTCACTTTCAGTTCTGACTGGGGCATCTAAGCACTCTCCCCCCCTCTCCTCTCTCATACGCATTGCCACTTGTGGTATAATCTTCCAAGTATCCGATGGTCTTTGATTTTTCTAAGCATAAGTTTGTATTCCAATATGCAGGAGAACAATCCTTGCAGTGGGATAGACTGCAATGATAATGGTACGAATGACATGCGAGATCAAAATGTCTTTGAGACTCTTATCGGAAAGCAGCAGCAAGTCTTGCTTGCAGCACGAGTTGTCGAGATGATTCTAAAGATCGATGATGTCATGCCCCTTCCGATTACTGATATGCAGGTACTTAATCCCAGGTTTTGCTTCATATAACTGACGACCATGATCGACTGTTGGCTCATATTGTGACTTTGTGATAGAGCCCACACGTCCTGATGGTGAAACTTTTTGATGCATTTTAGTTGGGGTTCACTTTATTTTGTTAGCGTGCTTCCTGTTTTGTTGATAATAGGTTGGCTGTTTTTTGTTTTACTTTCTGAACGTTTTTGGTTCACTTTTCGCCACTTCCCTTTACCTAAACCTCTTTATTTTTATTAAATGTTCATCAAATACCAAACACTAGAAGTGCAAATCTTCTCATGGCTATAAATTTGTTTGGTTTCCATTTAAGTTCAGTTTGTGCTATAATTGCACACTCTGTGTGCGCGTACGTGCACTGACGTGCAGGCACATTGACACTAGGGAGGCACATTTGGTTTCATGCACCCTATGGAAGGATCAAAATCCTCTCCTGCGAAACAGTACTCCTGTCCTCTCCAACTAGTGATGTACGTTACAAAAATGTTGTGACATCACTAACTGGACGGGATATGACACTTCCGTTTTTAGTCCCCCTCTGTGAACAACAGGACTGCCCCTGGCCCGTTACTCCTTTTCCTTAGCAGGACCACACATGGTCGATGGTTTGAGTGTAAGCTACAAATTACATGGTTGGAATGGGTGTGTTAGGGCCAAGAGATGTTGTTGGTCCCCAATGCCCTTAAATAATGTAATAGTCGGATAAGGAGAGAAGTCAAAATTAAGGAAATAAATTCTAGGTTCTCGGTTGAAATATAAAATGGCTAGATGTCTATATTTTCTTTCTTGGTGAATTATTCTTGCCTCTACTGAGATTTGGTCTTTTGACCTATGGATGAAGCTGTTGCAAAAATCAGTCGACACCCTTGTAAGAGTTAAAAATCCTAATAGCCGCAAATGATGTATGGGAAATGACAAAATTACCCTAACCAAATATATATATATATATATATATATATATATATATATTTGCTTTGATTTATATGAAATGCGAAATTAACCTTACTCTGTTGTCCGGGCCCCTTCTTCCAGCTCTCATAAATGGTGATTAATTTTATTGGTAATTTTTGCTTTGACGGTGGATCTGTCAGGCTTGTCTTGAATTGAAGTTAAGAAATGCACCCACACATATATGTACTAATATAAATGGGCCTGACTAGCTTGCAAGTTTATTTGGTCCCCCTTCTCGCATGGACTACCTCAAGAAACTCTTTCCCAGCATGGGTTGTACCGCACGTGTGATTTGTATCATACGTATATTGTTTATATATTTAATGTATATATATGCTTAATGAAATTTAATACATTGAATATGCAATATATATTTACATTTTAGTTTTGCGAGTTAATTTATAAAATTGGGTTTCTAATTTGCAATAATGAAGTATAGTTAGCCTAAATGTGATATACATGTATATAATAATTGTACATTTGATTTATCTATTAAAATAAATAAACTGAAAATAAATCGAGAAAATAAATTATCTGGAGACAAGGAATTGGAGGTTTCCTGAAACGTGGAAAGCCAATCTCTTGATTTTTAATGACTCTTAAAAGTAGACTGTTCTCAATTTTCTGGCTTGCAGGGTCGTAATTGGGCCTCATTTGGACCATTATCAGGCCCATATTCAGAGGTACCAATGGTCCTGATTTTTGGCCACTAGACTCGATCATAACTTCTCTCCCCTCGGTAAAAGGTGGAGGTTCAAATTATTGTCAGGAGAGAACCGAAAAAAGGAACAAAAAAAAAAAAAAAAAACGAAGTAGGTACCTACAATAATTGAATCGAAGTAGGCCCATACGCAAGTTTTTACTCTTTGGAATTGAATCGAGCGGAATTTTTGGGCAAGAAAAACATATATTGACATGAATTTCCGATGTTCCACCTATATAGCTTAACAATACTGAGAATTAAGGTTGTCAAATGTAGTTCACAGTGTTGTATGAGAGAGTTTTATGTATTATTTCAAGTATTGCAGTCTGTTAATCGACCCAAAACTAGAAATGGCAGTTTCCAGCCACGTAACCTGTTAATTGACCCAAAACCACTAGAAATGGCAGTTTCCGGCTATACCCATCAGTGGGTAAAAATGTCAATTTAACCCGTCCCAGCGGAGCCAGCTCCTAATGGAATAGACATTGAAACTTAAAAGAGAATCAAATACCCGAGTTTTAAGCCTGCCCTGATTACTAACATGTCCTACTTCATGATAATTTAAAATTTTAACCATGAAAATTTGTGAGTTTTAAGTGTATTTTTGTAAAAAGTTTATCATGAATCTGTTCAAGAGAAATTTTCATACAAAAAAGTAATCGTATGATCTAGCCCTTGTAGATTGAACCAGCCACACCTATGCTACCTTGAAACTGAACTAAGGCAGATGATTTATGAATTCAATCAACACTGACAAGTTAACAAATGAACCTGGACAAATTTATCAACTATTTACTGGTTGAGGCCCGTCTTCTAACAATTTTTGATAGGTTAACAATGCAGCATATGCATAGGCCCCTTTCTTCCTAGCTGATTCTTCACAATCCTTTGTTTCTATGTACAAGAACTGACATGGAAATATAAACACAATATGCAAATCATGATGATTAATGACGATAATAAATTAGGAGAGAGGGCATAGGTGTAAGAGAGAGCGAGGGAGTCACTGATGGCTAACTGAGATCAATGTCGACCCTTTCTGGCTTTCCTCTTTCTGTCTGGTTGGCAACAAGTTCCACACCAAGCTGCCCTTTGTCACCCGCGCCGAATGCAAATAGCTTACCGGATTCAGTAAGCGCGAAAGTGTGGGCATTCCAGTATATGGAATTTGTAAGGCTTATCTGTACTACCCGCTCGTTCACCTGCTTCAGCGATGTTACCATCTCTGGACTTAAAACATTCGTGTGCCTATTTCCCTGAGAAAACCACACAAAGAAAACATATATTAGTTACTTCATAAATTTTGGGTAGGCTACAACTCTCTCCCTCTTAAACACACACAAATGTACACACTGATGCACTAATGTATGCACACACTCGCAAAAGATTGAGAAAGGCAACAGATACACAGATCATCTTAAACTTGCAACCCACTCAAGATTATTGTGTATGTCAAAGACCGTCTATTCAAGAAATTGCTTTGCTCACAATAATGCTTTATCATATACCAAAGGGCCTCTAGCCCAATGGTATAATCTTTCGGGGGAGGTTGAGAGCAGAGAGTCCCACTTAGGACGTATAGTGAATAAAGGGTGTGTGTGTGTTTGCTTTTGACTTCCGAAAAAATAAAAATACCTTACCAGATACATCAGGGGTCTATATTCACTGTTCTATGTGTCAACAATGATTCAGCACTAGGTATCAAAATGCCACAATTAGAAGTACTATGATAACGAAACAACAGTATTCAGAAGAAAACAGTATTCTGATGAACAATTCAGGAATCACACACTCTTTGCAAATCAGTCGAATGCACATGATAAAATCAAGTACTGGAGGCTTAACTAATTAAAGAAAAATACTATAGACTCTCTCTCATGCACACCACTCCCATGTGAGAGAGTTGGCTTCTATAGAATCGGTCCAAATTAAAGAGTGAAATTTAATTAAACTTGGGGAGTACTGCAGAATCTAATGGTCAAGCCAAATAATTCTGTTTTTAGTTGTTTCAAAAAATAAGGTAGGAGAAAGACCGACCTGTTCATCAGCAGCCCCAGTATTGTGTCCAAGACTAGACGATTCTCCACATCCAAATGAGTATACATCTCCATCATCAGACACCACAAAGGTCGTATAATCCCCTGTAGCAACATAAACAGCCTTGACCTCACTTAATGCTTCCACAACTTTAGGAACTGATTCACACTCTTCGTTCCCATGACCCAAGCACCCATAGCGCCCCCAACCCCACGTGCAGACCCTCCCGTCCTTCCCAACCACTGCAGCATGCCAAGCACCAGCAGCAACCACCACAGGCTGGAGATTCAAAGTTTGAAATTGTTCAATCAATCTTGGGTACTTCTCATCGGTTCTTGTACCATGCCCGAGCTTCCCGCCCAGGCCACAACCAACAGAGTATACTGACCTGATATTTTACCAAAAGAAATCTTATTATTCGAATATCATATCTAATACATAGGTAATGATGAATATGCTTATAAGAATGTAAGAAATATTGAAATCCATCAGGCCAAAACCGTGACTATGCTCCGAAGTAACTAAAGAGGGCAAATTAAGAAAATATCTTAAGAGTCGTCCAGACCAAGGAAGATGTTTAATGGATGGAAATAAATTAATAAAAGAAAAAAAGATATGAGAAACTAAATATAGATAACATCATCATCAAAACTAAATACAGAGAGAAAGCAGCATACGTTGCCAAAGAAAAAATCACTTTGCATAGTTTAGGGGTTGCAAATATTACATTATTCTTGAATTTTAGATATATCGGGCAAATGGCTTATATCATATACAACAAATTTCTGTAGACCTAAAGAAAATATCATCATTGGTTAGAAAATTTTCTTAAGAACATGACATATATTGTTTGATTGTAAAACAATGTGGAAATGGAGGAACTCACATGCCACTAGGTTGACAAGCCAAAGCGAGAAGGTAGCAGTATCCAGCGGCAATTTGCACCACCGGTATGTTCTCAAGTGCGCCCAATAAAGGACGGGGCTCTAAATCACTTGGCTCTGTGTGATGACCAAGTTTGCCATCAGTGCCCCAAGAAAATGTATACACCCTACCTTCTCTTGACAATACTGCCGTGAAGAAATTTCCAATTGCAGCTTGCACCACAAATATGTTTTTCAAGGACTCCACCAGTTGCGGGGTTGAAACTAATTTACTTCCTTGAACCCCATACTCAACTTCCCCAAAGGAATCTTTTCCAAAGGCATAGACATGGCCAGCATCGCTGATCAGCATTGTCCGGCCAGCCCCAGCAGTGGCTTGGATAATACGAATGCCTTGCAGAGATCTGCAAAACACAATGGGTTCCATTAAATTTCTCAAACCATTTATCAATCCATTTTCTTGCTTGATAGAAAGCTAGAAACCTGATTTGGCGAGGTCGCCACTCCTCTTCTGTGGTGCCGTGACCAAGCTGTCCAGAGTTGTTAGACCCGAACGAGTACACAGCACCTTTGGATGTCACAGCAAGACTGTGACCTGGCCCTGCTATTGCTTGTGATTTCTCCCTCCTGGAACATGCTTCTCCAGCCAGTAAGAACCTCAGGACCAGTTTCCAGGAGCCACCACATCTTTGCTTCAACTCTTGGCGTTCCTCAGCCTTCATTGGCTTAAATATGGCTCTCTTCTGGCACATATCTAGTGCCGCGAGCTCCGACAAGGACAGCTCATGATCAGGGGCAAAGTTTGCAGGCTGCCTGAAGAAGGAACATGTTGCCTGCAACACACATTTACGATCCAATCAGCAGCATCATCAATTCTAATGTCAAACAAAGAGTTTCATTTTTAGAATGTTAAGGAACAGGGCACTTGCCTCTAGTATTGCAAGATCTTGAGGATCCAAATTACAGCCAGTAAGGACATGAAGGACAATGGAGGGATTGGTTGACAATGGGAACTCTCCCGGACTTGCATCCCCGAAGCAATGACGTTGCTGTCGTGGAAATGTCGGTACAGTCGAGGCCACAAGAGCAGCAATTGATTGCTCAGGAATGCTATGGTATTGAATAGTTGGGGTTCCACTCGTAGTGGCGTCCATGGGCACTGCTTAATTATGCAGTGCCCAAATTTAGGCAGAGAAGAAGATCTTAACTGCCAGCAAGTACAATAACATATGTCAAACTCACTGCATTACTCTCTACAATGACTCAACTAACATAACTAAAATCTAAACATTCAATTTTCTGACCAAACTATCCTACTCGTGAAAATGATGGGCACTAGTATCTACCTTGAATTCTATATAAACCGATCAGCAACCTTTAAATCTCACACCTACATAAAAAAAAAAAACACATTTTTTGTTGTAAGAACTCTGAATTAAGTGCAAATTAATACGAAGCAAATCATGATGCTAAAGAATTAATCATATGCAATTATGCATTGAAATGACCATAAGTGAATATCAATCATATGCATTGAAATGATCATAAGTGAGTCAAATTAACAAACAATATTCAATTTTTGTTCCTGATCATACAAAATCAAGGTCCGCGAACATAAATAGGCCAATCGAAATCAAGATGCACAAGGAGGGACAAACAGGAGAACCCTTGGAGGCCTAAACAGTAATTGACACAAAAATATGATCAAACAAAGTGTTCCAAACTGAGAATTTATAGATACACCAAAAATGAAGGAAACTGTGACATGAAGAATGCAAATACTCCATCAGAGGATATTCCACACCCAAAAGTAAACCCAAAAAAGAAAAGAATTTCCACACACAAAGATATATACTTTTTTTCACGCATATAGTCAATCCGATGCAACAATTAAGATTAAATCAATCCAAAACAGACCAAACAAGCGAAATCGGAGACAAACCCAACAACAGAGCTACCATCATGAACAATTCTGTAAAGAAATTAACCATAAAAACCTGATCTTTAAGGTACCAAAGATCTGAGGATCATCAGACCATCAGATAATCGCATAAACAGAGAACAATTCATCCAGTAAGAGACCATAATTAAATAAAATGAAACTGTGGAAATAGAATATAATAACATATGGGACACTTTTAAATCTGCAATTATTATAGTTACAGATCGAGAAACAAGTGTTCAGGAACAAATATTACATGTCAGAGAAACCCAAGATTCCTCAAAGCCCATGTGAAAATCAGAAGAAAAAAAAAAGAAAAAAGAAAAAAAAATCCGATCAAATTGAAGGGTATGGGAAATGGGTATCTGATCAAATGGATAATCAGGTGATTGTTTCTCGGGAAAACAGATGATCCGAGCGAGGGGTTATAGAAATTGTTGATGGGATGTTTCGGAAAAATTTCAGGAGAGAGAGATGGGGAAAGAGAGAGAGAGTTTATTCTTTTGTAGAAGCCAAAGAATGAATGATATGATATGCTTTTAGCTTTATATTTTCTCGATCGGATGGTTCTCTACTATGCGTTCCTAAAGAGACGAGACGAGACAGGATGAGGTGTCTCTTGGGTGGTGAACGGTGATTCAAGAAGTTATGCTTATGCCATACACACACACATACACATACATACCATGTACGAATCACTATATATATATATATATTTTATCTATAACAAGTTTGTTTTCACAACTATGGCAATTGACTCGAGCTCAATCTTAGTAAAAACGAAAACTCTGGGTGAATTTCGTGCGGATAAAGAGTAATTTTAAAGTAGGAGTTCTCAGAAAACGGACTCTTCAAAGATTTTCATGCCCATGAAATTACCCTTTTGTTGCAGGAGTTGAACTTGGTGAAGACAAAAAGTTTGGGGGTATAATGGTCTTTTCACAAAATGATCCATCACACTCTTGGATGTCTCTCTATCCAACCAAGCCCAACTTGAAGTTTATAGTCTTCATCCAAATGTGACCTAAGGATGAGAGTAATCAGAATCCAACCCAAACTTAAGTTTTGAGGCTTACAGTTTAGTACACGATTGGTTGGATTAAGCCATTAATTAAGCAGACATGGATCCACTAAATATTCTCTAACATATTCTAAGTTGAATTCGTTATAAATTGACACGTAATATTTAAAATCTATCTATTGTTGGTATTAAACTATGTCAATTAGTTTAAAGAAAGTTTGAAAAATTTACCAAAATTTACAAATTGCATCGTTTTGAACACTGTACTCTCTCCCTCATTTTTTTCAAAAAAAAAAAAAAAATCCTACCCCTCTCTCTTTATTCCTATCTTAAACAAATCGTGATGTTCTTTGCTTCTCTTTTACCGTCACTTTCTCTCTCATCTTTTCTATATATTTTTCTAATTCCATCAATATCCATGCTTATATATATATATATATATTATTTTCCAATCATTATTATTGCCGTAAAAGTTTCATCTCTTGCAATCCCATTTTGTCCATCTTAATTCCATGCAAACGACATTCATTTTTTATGCGAAATATTCCCCAATCGTGGGAGAATGAGCAGGAGGACAGAGTGGGAGGAATTTTTTTGGAAAAGATGAGGGAGATAAACATTGTTAGATTATGGAGAATTTTCTTTAACTCAAAATGGTGCATAAACTTTGGTAAATTTTTCTTATCACAAACGGTGCAGTTTTTAAACTTGGTTTAACACCAGCCCTAGATAAGTTTTAAATTTTATGTGTCATTCAACTTAGGATGACTTAAAGAATATTTAATTTAGAAGATCCAAGTCTTAATTAAGCTCGATTAGACTTGGTATAAGCTTTGGTTGTGCTCCCATTTATAATATTTTAAAAATAACATCACAACTAATAATAATTATTATTATAGTATAAAGGAGGTTAGGAGAATTAGACTATATGATTAGTTAAATACAGTGTCACATTTGTTTGTGTCAACTTGTAATTGACTGGGACCATTTAATAATTTTTCGGAGGTTAAAATTGAATTTAGATTGTTTTACCATCTCTATTCAAGCTAAACTCTCTAATTGAGGTTAAAGCGAATTCTTTGTAACTCAACTTCAATAAGGGCAATAAAAAGAGTATTCGGGTTGGCATTAGGTTGAGTTCAAGTTGCAGCTTAACGGTTAAGTTTGTCATCTCTTAATCATATCCAAATTTTTATCTGAGTGGTGTGATTTTATGGAATATTAGGACCAGAATATATAATGTGATCACTAATAGTGGTATTAATTGCTAACCTCATTTTTAAATAAACTTGTTTTGGAGATATTAACTTTTACAATTATTGCTTTAAATATATATATATATATATATATATACTGGTCACACTCTCACAGTAATGAAGACTGGTCTTTCGACTGTTGGAATTAGAGAAACACTATTTTCATTCTCCCAATCAAATGGCTGCGAGGATGAAGTCATGGTTTAGGCACCTTCCTGGTAAATTTACTTGTAAATGAAATTAAAATGCGATGGTTATTCATTTTACTTTTTTCTCAGTTGTGGATGGGTCTGACCACTCTAATCATAGGAATAATCTCACCATTTTAAAGAAGAAAATGAGTCTAAAACTCCATTTGTATTGAAATACTTGAAATGAATGTATTCATGTTCAATCAAGTCTCGGATTATATCACAAATACGAAGTGAGTGATTTTAATCTAAATTTTAGCAATGATTTAAGAGGGTTTTAAAGAAGAAATTGATGTATAGAAGCACTCTCATGAACAGATCTTGAATTTCACCACAATTGGGTGACATTTAAAAAAAAAATTATTATATGTTCCGAGTAACAGGTCTTGAATTTCAACACAATTGGACGGTGCTTAAAAAAATTTATTATATGTTCCGAGTAACTTGTAGTTTCAATCCATTACAAATGAACATGCAAATGATTAGTTTTAACTAGTTATTTATTTATGTGTCGAGTTGTGATTAAACGAAATTATATATGGAACCATATAATAATAACAAAATAATAATCAACAAGAAATCTACATCCAACACAAAAAGAAAAAAGAAAAAGAAAGCCCAAAAATTGTCAGTAGTGGAAGGATTGCTCCCAACGGTAAAGAAACCACTTTGATTTGGCCATGTGGAAGTTTTTTTTTTTCCTGGCAATGTGGAAGTTAATAGGCGTATAAAAAAAAAGAGTAAAAACTTGCGTGAGAAGTAATCCCAATAAACAATTCCCCCACCTCAATAAAGCAGGAAACTTGGCTTTGTCAATGGACCCATTCTTCATCCATGTGCCTTCCTAGCTGGAACACAAAAATCTTCATTACATACAGATCTTCCATTCTTTTTTCTTTTTCTTTTATTTTATTTTTGCAACTTCCGTTCTTTGTTGAAAAACATAAATTTTCATCTGTGTTGATGAAGGTGCCACGACACCTAGTCGCGTGGCACCACTTCTGAAAAAAGAAACACCTGGTTAGTGCTGATTAGACTACGTCAGTATATGTCTGACGTTCTCCTAAAATGATCAAATGATTTCAAGCTACTTGTCCTATAACTGAAGTCACTGAACGAGAAAGGGGTAGCCACCATTCACTCTCTTGTGGAGGTACCCCGCTCCAATTGGATGGGTCCCACCTCTTTTATCTCCTTCGAGGCTCCCTCCTGCAGATGGTACCTCGAGCATGTTAAGTTCTCGCCCAGAGCTCCCCCCTCCTGGATTGGAGAGGCTTCGGGGTGCAGGGTCGGGATAGAGCCTCGCAGTACTAAGAAGGCAGAACCCCGAGGAGGCTTTCTTCCCCATCTCCGGATTTAGAAATTTGAGGAAATGTGGACATGCAGGTGGTTGGGATCTAAGGAGTCGCCTCAATTCGAGGTCAATACAAGGGGGAGAGGACGTTTAATACCCAAGGTCGAGCTCAGGTAAACGTAGACCTTGCATTAAATGCAGAAACAATTTGACAAGACCCGCATTAAATGAGGAGTGCCATTACCTCGTCGGACCGGGGGGCAAAACGCCTCGGATCACTTACCCATGTCTCATCTGTCGGGAGGAAAGGTCATCGAACCTACGGGCAAGAGAGGGGTTCCCTCCCTCTGTAACTAGTGGGTATTGACCAAAGGAACGGGCCCGAGTAGTATAGATAGGGGGCATTAATCAACTATTAAAGGCAAGGAGACCATAATACAATGACCGATAACTATTACTATGCCCAAGTTGTTTGGGTATTAATTACCGCCTTCCCTCTCTTAACCTCGGACTTGAGAGAATCCCTTGTATTATTTGGAGCATTCTCGGCCTACGTGGAATAATTCCCTCATCTCACAAAGAACTACCATCAACAATCTGTTACATTATCAAAGTATAGAATAGGTGTTTTGAAATTAAAATTAAGATTTAAAAAAAAATAATAAATTTAAACTATAAATTAAATTTCTTTCAATTTTAATTTTAAAATGTCGATTTGGTACGTACTCCCAACCAGACATAAATGAAAAATCTGTATCTTCAAAGTTGGAATTTTATCCATATATGAAAGATATATAATAATGAAAAAACTCTTTGTAGCATGTGTACATGCAAAATTTAGTTCCTTGTCCTACATTCTACATAACTTTGGTTTTATCCAAACTTAATGTTAGCAAAGTATAATATTCACACTAATTAATAATTAAGCAACCTCTTAAATATATCATATCCAACAAATTAATTCAATAAAAATATAGAGTACGTAACATTTACAAGCTACGCCTCGCTAATAATCGATCCAGACATTAATTTAAAATCTTAATACGTACAAATGATAGATATACATATTAATTATATTAATTGGAAAACAAAATGAATAATTTGAGTGGTAGCATCTACACTTTGTGCTACTGGTTTGCACCTAACTTCAACTAAAGCTAGGTTGCCACATCAGTGGGCGCAATGTTTACCAAGTGCAACGTTAGTGACATGCAGCACTGACATGTGTTAATACTACAACATCATAACCCAAGCTCAGAAAAACCTAAAACTAAGGTGTTTTTGGCATGCACAATCATATACACTACTTAGCTTCTTCATGTTTGGTGAAGCAATCCACTATTCCTCCTACTCATTACTTTAGTTATATATATATATATTTGTGTGTGTGTAAAAACCCAACTCATCATTTTATCACCTGATCTTGAGTTCGGCCTAGAATTAGGAACCGACAGTAATGTAATTATTACTAGAGTTGTAGAGTTAGAACATCTGAAATTAGCCAACACATATTACAACAGCAGCATTATAGCATGAGTACCTGCATGTCCACTCCACACCCAAAGTAATTAACACACACAATCATATATAATTGTTTGTATACATATATAAAGTGACAAACAATTAATGAGTGTGTGTGTATATATATATATAGTGTATGTGTGTGTTTATGGACAATAATTTGCAATATTGGGACAATTTTTGCCAACTTTCCTTACCACCACGCTGCATAATGGTGGAGTCCGGTGACAAATAAAGTAATTAACATACCCAAAGTAATTAAAAACACACACAATCATATATCATTATTTGTATATATTGTGGCTAGCTATATATACATATAAAGTGATAAACAATAAATGAGAGTGTATTTATTATTTATATATATAAATATATATGTATATATATGTAGTGTGTGTGTATGTGTATGGACAATAATCTGTAACATTGGGACAAATTTTGCGAACTTTCCTTACCACTACGCTGCATAATGGAGTCCGGTGACAAATAAATATATGCGCGTGTGGATGTAAATATTATATGATGGGGTTGAGGCCAAAATCTGACATCACCATGCACAATGAAGTTGACTGTATAATAATAAGAATGAGAATACATATATATATATATATATAAATTGTTGACTAATTGTCAAAATCAGAGGTGGTATTGCAGGTTAAATTATTCGAATATGGCATGAGATGAGACAATTTTTAGGCAGCAGGTGCAGCGTGATGAAGTCCTCTAGAGTCTGGACCAGCAGCATCTTCTTCTTCTTGTTGGTGGATCTTTCGAGATTTGTTTTTTTATTTTAAAATTTATTTTCTTAAAAGCTTAAATTTGTGAGTGAAGATGTTTCTCAATTCTCATATTCTATTTAAGAATTAAGATGGTTATGAATGTAAATAGTTAATTTTAATATTTTTTAAAAATAATATTAAATTATCTCAAACCTCCCTCTCTCTGTCTATTCTCTTCTACTCCTTCAATCCCTCTCTACACCTATATATATATATATTTTTCCATATTTTCTCTATAATTATAAGGTAATTTAAATTAACCGATGTTTGAATAAATTATACAATTAAATTATACCTAATTGAAAATATAAAATGTTAAACTAATACATATTTAATAAATTCTACAATAATACCTATTGACATCCTGATTTAATGAAGGGTATTTTTGACCAATTAAATAGATTACATGTGTCACATACTTTTTATGCCTATAGGTGTCTAGTCTCATTATGTAGCCTCCAAATTTAATTTTTAAAATTTTGAAAGGACATCTTGCTTTTTGTGACGGTGGACAATGACATGGAGTCATTTTCATAAACCATCATCGGGTGTGAGCTCTTCCTCCTCCTAATCAGTAGACTAACTCAATCAATTGACCCAATATTTCACTAATATATAACACACCAAATTAAAAAGTTCACTTTCTCTCTCCAGAACGGGATCGAAATCAAGGTGGGAATCAACATGTAATATATTTCAATTTAGACTAAGAACATAGGCATAAGAAGTATGTGACTCAAAATCAGAACAGCTCAAATTTGTCCAGCCAATTTTCGAGTAGAACCATTAGATAATGGGAATTAATCAAAATTATAATGCTAACATGACAGATTCCAAACTTTTGTCAGAAATAGCCAAAGCGCGCACACACATATATACATATATGTTGGATTGGGACATTTCATTTTCTTCATACTGTTTCTCTTCCTATATCTATTCTATCTTTCCAGAAAAATTAACGAAATTATCAGCTTGTCACTCTTCTAATTTAAAATTTTCACTTAAACCCGGCACACGTTTTTGTGCGAGTCAATTGAATTTTCTTTTTTTTTTTTGTACATTTATCAAATATCACGTACCATTAGGTAGGTCGTGTGTAATGTTCATTTGTCTCGGGATTTAATTTATTTACTGTTCGTGAAGACGAGTCAAATGGATAATTGAACGAACAAACAATTTTTTGTAATTTTTAAGATGGCTGATTATAAACAGGGTTTAATATCGTAACGGACCTCTGAGTGTTGTTAATTACGCAAAGCATATTATCAGCTAATATGTTTGTTAAGAACATGTTAAGGGAATAAATATGCATATTCCAATGCTGGATGACTTCAATTGTTTGGGTTTAATTTGATATAACAGTGCGTGCTGCACAATCTTACTGATAAAGACAAGCCCCCTAATCTCCAGTGTCGCCAACTAATTAACGACACGTACCACAAGCAACCACATTTATTTTACTTAATATATATATACACACACACACACACACAAACATATGTAATATATATAGATTCTCAACAATAGAATAATGATTTTGGGCAACTGCACAGACATATACTTGATCCATAAGTTATATAATATATATATATATGTGTGTGTGTGTGTGTGTGTGTGTGTGTGTGTTTAGAATACAATGCATCAAACAGTTGAATAGACATGCATATACCACATTTTAAGTTAGGCTAAAGAGCAGCATGTTCGGTAGGTCCTCTATAATCATGTGTCATTATAAAGTGCTTAATCTGTCATCTCAACTAAGAAGCAAACGGTCATTATTAATTAATATCCCATTTTGTTAATAGATTCTGTTAATTATAATGCTCTTTCTTTTCTCTTCTTTTTCTGTCAAATAACTCCAGCAATATTTTTGGAGAGACTCACCTTTTAACGATTAACGAAGACAAAAAGTTACTCTTTACTTTAAAGAAGAGAATAAATCGCTCACGCAACTTAAATACAATTGTTCACAGGATCCTCTTAAGCTGTGTTCGTTTACATGAAATTAAAATTTGCGGAGGAAAAAAATAACTGACAAAATTAAACCAAAATTTTCTCAATTCAACGAATTCGAATTTCACGCATTGAATAATCCTACCCCGCATTTGGGTTCATTGATTGGTTTGGATATAAAATCATTTTTCAATTTTTTTATTCGTCATAAACAACTGCGTACACGCTAAGGCATCGACCCAGTGAGACATTTCATATTGTTATTAATAAATATAAGTTAGAATATACTCAATCAAAATAGTCCGTTCTCCAAGGGGACGTCTTGACGGTAGTACAACTTGTGAATGGAATGGCTTCTCCTATGGTCCTGAAATAGCTGAAATTCAAATCTGTAGATAAACGTAAACTTCCTTCTCTGTCTTACAATACTACAAGAAGCAAAGCAAACATCTTTCTTTCAAGACAAGATTCAAAACATGTTAAAGAGTTGCAAGTTATTGAATTGTCAAACAAAAGACAGACAGACCAACTGAGATTTACCAAAAAGGAACAACTTTGACCTGTGCAAATCGCTTACGCCTTACAGCAGTTTTTAACTTCTAAAACTTTCCTTTCTGCAGACATAAAATAGGTTCAACCTTTTCAAAATATCAAGAATACATCAATAATTCAATATATTCGCCAAGAACAAATTGAGAAACGGATAACAAATTATAACAAGTATTTGATACAAACTATTTTATACATTATCCAACTAATACAGTTACATGTAACCACCTCAAAAATTGCAGCACTCTTCATTTGTAACAATAACTTGCACCCTCCTTTTGGCTTCAAGACTCACCACAAATGCGGAAGACACTCCATTCAAAATATTCAGTGGATCCTTTTTAAGGATGGGTGCGTGTTGTTGCCATGACGTGTGCAGTATCATCGAGCTTCTGTTTTATCTCTGATATGTATATAGGTGTATATGATTAAGTCAACCTTTGATCTCTTTGGCACAAAAAAAGGTTATATTGCTCCTGTAGTCCTACAGCCGTTTCACTTTCCATCATTCACTCACTTCTGTCCGGGCTTTTGTCTTCACCAGAGAGTTTGTTATCTGTAGTGCCCATAGCGGCGACTGCTTCTTCCTGGAACAATAATGGGTGATAAAGTGATCAGAGCTTGTTGCAATATACCTCAAATCTTTTACACACAACATAATATGCTATACATACATATATACATGTGTAAGTAGGAAATAATGTTAATCCCAACTCAAACTCTAAATTGGACCCTTTTTCAATTGATAATATTCATATTATACAAGTCTACAGCCAAGATTAAAGGAATAATTTCTTTAGAGAACTAATTGCTGCTATGTGCGCTTAATTCATAGAAAACCCAAGTAAAAACCATTGCATGTAAACAAAGGGATATGAAAAAGGTAATAGCCACTGTACCAGAACACCGACCTTAATGCATCTTGTGAGAATGTATAATATTAAAAGCACAAAATTAAAAACTTCATGGTATAGAATGCAAATGCTACCTTATCTAGATTTTCATAGAAAGATTGATCATCATTCCCATTCTCAAGCTTGTCAGAAAGTTCACTGTCTTTCGTCCTAAAAATGTAAGTCTCCTGGTCTTCCTTTGTGTCCAAAGTAGAAAGATCACCATTCACAACACCATGTCCACTATTTGAAGAATTGTTGATCCCAGTCGAGTTAAAACTTCCGTTCCCTGACTCGGCTCTACCTCCATTTTCCCTCTCAACTAAATTCCCTTCCTTCTTAAGTCCCTCATTTGTAATTTGAATCCGGTTAGTTGCTGCTGCTTCAGCTTTCCCCTTTTCTTCCTCTCTCTGCTGTCTTCTCCTTGCCTCTTGCTCCTTTAACTGCTTAAATCTGGAAAAACCAACAGTCGGACTAAAAACAACGTTGATTGTAACAACAATGCATCCACGTCATAAGAATCAACAACTATTAACCTTTCACCAGGACGGGGCCCCTTTGGAGTCGCCTTTTCTCCTTGTCTAGCCTCATTTGAAGTTGTATTCGTTTCAAGGACAGACTTCTGAATTTGGGTTAGCTCTTCCTTAATAATATTATCATTCAACTGCCCCACTAAATTTTTTGCACCCCCTAGCTTTTGAAGCCATACTTGTTGTGCTGTGCTCAATATGTTGTTTGTGAACCTGCATAAAACAAAAGCAAATAAAACTTTGTAAATACACAAAAGTTCAGAGAACCACTGATTAAGATTAAAACATAGTTTTTTTTTGGTTGATCGTGAACAAAGAAGTTCCAACATGAATGGGGGGGCCTACAGCTACTCACCAATAAAGGCTTAGCCCAGAAGGAACTGAAAGAGCAAAATAACCAATCAATAAGGGCAGGAACTTCGTTATAGCTTGAGAACTCTTCAAGTTTGGATCGTTATTCTGAAAGTCACGATACACATTAAACATTAAAAGAATGACCCTTTTTTTTTTTTTTTTTTTTTTTTTTGAAAAAAAAAAAGGCATTCTGTTGTCTGGTAAACTAGAACAAAATTTAGCAAATTGAATCAAGAAGCAGAACTGAATTGCAGATATTGCAATACACTATAGAAATTCATGATGAGCTGAACTAACAAAATGGAATTTGAAGATAACTGCAAAGCAAAATCAGAAAGGATAAACAAACGCATTAAAAAGTTTCAAAAAAATAAAAAGTAAAAAAGCCCTGAATTTCACATAGGGAAATATAATGAAGGTCAACGTAAGTACTCCTTGATGAAATTGAACATATCTCTTTCTTAAATGCGATCGTGGAACCTCAAATTCTCAGATGATAATAAAATTAAAAGGTGCCTTAATGCATACCCAACCTAACTACTAAATCACGAAGAAAGTAACCCAATGGATGTATTCATCTTGAGAATGAAACAGGTTCAAGCACCAATATAATATCCTACGCATATTGTCAAATAAACAGAAGAATAAGAAAATCAAAGATTTTTAGATGTGGAAGAAGATAGCAGACATTTTTCATTTGAAACAACCAATAAATATGAAAAGTACCAAAACCTGACCTGCGATGACTGCATGATTTGGACAGAGATGTATTGTGAGAGAACAAGCAGCACAGGTAAGACAAGATATGCCAACGTATCTGACCATCCAAGGGGAGGATGACCATCCTGTGAAGAAATTTTGAACATATAAGCATGGGAATCAATAAAAGAGTTTTAGATAAAATATTAAAAACCAACAAATGTTTGGTGAAAGAAGCATCAAACTTGTAGTCTGTTAACAAAACCAGATTAGCCAGTTCCGATAGTTGAACCGGGGACTGGGCCCCAAAAAGTTGCATATATCTTCTGACACCGCTAACTACAAGAAACATTAAGAACCGGTTCACCCAACTGGTTAATTATGAATCACTTAAACCAGGTCAATTTAATAAGGACCGGTCTTGATTGTAATAAAAAAGACGTTACATTTTATTTGTAAAAGTATCAATGTGAAGAAAATTTATCTTTTCTAGTGTTTTAGAAACAAAATAGCTTTAAACTTCAAAAATAAAATAATTGAGAAGAACTAAGGATCAAACAGAGCCCTAGAAACAACCCAGACCCTTCACATTCTCCTGTACAAATGTTTCTGCTTCAAGCATATTACAAAGCATTTTACATGAAAACCAAATATTTATCATTATATGTAAATTTTCATAATATAAGACATTTTATAAGAATAGCCATAGCTGTCTATTTCCGGTACTTGGACACGACATAGAACCCGGTTCTGATACTCGTACTTCTAATTAAATGTTAAACATTTTTTAACTAGATTCAACAACATGATAATTGATATCCCTCAGAGAGATCTTAATCTATGATAGACACTCTGTTACATCCAACAAATGAGAGAAGTATTCACAACAAATACTAGTATAAATGAATTTTACTGTACACGTGATGAAAAAATAAGTGTCTAATAGCACTCTTAACAATATAACAGCATGATTTCAGCCAAAACACAAAAAGCTTGAATAGATTACAATTTTTTTTTGATAAGCAAAGCTTGAATAGATTAAAATGTCTATGATGTTTTTAAAAATACATCCAAGGGACGCAAACTTTTGGGTGCACCATTTTGGCCTTATTCTTCTGTAATTGTATCATCGCTCTTTTAAAAAAGTATCTCTTCATAAATAAAGGAAGTACAGACTTAGAATGGTTAAGACACTTACTATAAAAGGAAAAAGCCATGAAATGCCACCGCCACTTTGTCGAGCAGCAATTGTAGTCGGCCCAGCAAGGGATGGTATCCAGAAGAAGCCTTCTGTCAGGAGTCCCTTAACATTAGAAATCAGCATTTCATTAGATGCATGGGATACTTTGACTAGAAAATGGAAGTGGAAAAGCATGAGTTCACAAAAGCTCAATCAACATAAAGGCATTTTACCTCATCTGCAACATTTGAAAGGGCTCTATAAAGCCCAATCCATACAGGAATGGTGGCAAGTGTTGGCAGGCATCCTGTCACAAAATGGAATTAAATAAAACCAAGTTCACAACCTCAAAAAATACAGCAAAAGAGTATTGTTACACAAGTTTTTGGCAAAAATAATTAAAAATTTCAACTAATTTCAATTGCTCATGGTTCAAACCTCAAAGCACAAAATCCAAGGGTGATTAATTCCCATGAATACTTTGGGGGGATAAAACTACCATGAACACTTCATTTAATCCCATTTGTAAGATCTATATCCAATTTAAAAACAAGTGACCAATAAAGCATATAAAACTATCTAAATCAACATTTTTTACTTTGAAAATTCATACACCACAAACGATCCATTGAACATCCATGAAATTTGATGTATGAACACTAGCCTGAGACAGAATACTAGTAAAACAAGTAAACAGTCCTGAACTAATACAATGAGAGGTTGACAATATAAGAGCACCAATACTGTGAAAAATACAACACCATGACATTAAAAAAGCCAAATACATTGAGAGGTTGATAATGCTAACACAGGAGATAAGTAAATGAAGAATGAAAGCTTAAATGTCCATCTCTTGAATTTACTCATTTTTTAGATTTTTTCCTAGGATGGGGATTGATACAGTTCATCAGTTTGAACTTTTTGCACAGAAATTTCAATCATAATAACTTCTGAAACGAAAAATTGAATCATATTCAATTTGCTCAACCTAAATTCAAAATTATAAAAGGAACATGCAAGTATGAGTTTAAAAGAACTCAGTTTGGCATATCGCAGACACAGTTTCATGCATGATTCAATAGTGATTCAGAATCCAAGATTCAGGAATTCAAATTTGACATGACTAATGCATATTTAAGAAGGGACAAAAGGTATGGTCACACATTTCCATTAGAATATGAGTTTTGAGTCTATTAAATACACAACACTCTTGAACCCTTTGCTAAATAAGGATTACAGTGAAACAATCATGCATTTAGGTTGGTGAGACACACTAACCTATAAAAGGCCTTTAAAGGCATTTAGTATCCAAATATTTTTGGATAATTGTCTAAGAAAGGAACAATAGGAGCAACCAGTGAAAATCCATGGCTATTTTCATTCATTTAATTAACTTTTATCTAACAAATTTTTTCAAAGAATGACGATAGTTAACTATATATGGCAAAGCAAATAAACTTATCATGCCCTATTCTAGCATTGAATAAAGATATACATAATTCATTATAACAAAAAGCTAAAACCAGTGCATCTTTAAGTAAAAGTTCTAACAATAATCCATGATTATGTAAGAAGAAACCAAAACACACACAATTGAACGCAACACTCCAAAACATGCAACATATCTACCTGCCAGTGGGTTTATGCCACCCAGTTTATACAATCGAGCAGTTTCAAGCTGAATTCTCTCCTGCAAATCAGAAGGAAGATGATTGGCCATTGGAAAAGCAAAAAGTTCATCTATTGACATCCCCTTAGCCTTCACTGGATTTATTTTTCACAAATAAAAACAAGGTTCACTGTTTGATATATATGAAAAGGTAAAGGTAAAAGGACCATTTATTGTCAAATCTATATTCTGTTTATAATGCTACTCTTAAGATAGTTTCAAGAAATGAGCTTCAAATTGAACTATTAATCAATCAACAAGTATCTGGCATTTAAACTACCACTAGAACATCTACTTAATCTCTAATGTACGTGTATCTTTGAAGTATTTATCACTTTTATTAATCTCTCAGAGTAAGTCGATTAATCATTTCTTTCACTCAGATTTTTTTAAAGGTCAGGTCCAATCTGAGAATTTGATAATCAATGCTAGTCTAACTACGTGTTATGTCCACAAAGATCTTGAAATAGAACTACTATTCTTCATTATAGGTTTCGAACTAGAGAATATATTCAATCTGTGATGTAGTATAGATTAAAGTGTGCTAAAAAATCTAGTATTCTATGTGTAGTTAATAGAATTAATTAACACAGTTTTTTTTGTGGTAATAGGAAGACACTCTAGAAAGGAAAAGATGAAAGGTGACCTGATCTCCAGCGTACCGTTGCTGAATAGCCTTTATTTGAGGTTGCAATGATCGCATTGCCATCGCAGATTCGACCTGCCCACAATAGTTTTAAAGACATTTAATTTTCATCGGGCCTATAACCTCAACAGGATTTTCAACTGCAAATTTAAAGAAGTGTACAAACTTAAATCAATTCGTTAAAAGCAAGAGACCAACCTGTTTCTTCGATAATGGAAATGTGGCAGCTTTAACAATTACAGTTAGTAGAATAATTGCGAAACCATAAGCATAAGGAGCGTGTAAAGTAGAGAGCCCATCCTTCAGAACCTGAAATTCACACAAATAACTGTTGTCAAACCCCATATGACCCACCAGACATAGAGAATTCAAAGTTCACACGCCAGTTAATTCCACGGTGTTGTATCCACTTGGAGCATACTGCCTATATGGGATTTGGGTCTCCTCCAACAGAGCATACTGCCTATATGGGATTTGGGTCTCCTCCAACAATCTCAAAATGATTGTTTTCAGACTAAAAATAGAATTGTTGAAGCTTGAATAGATGAGTCTCAAATAGTTTCTTATGCCTCAAACTTAAAGAAACAACAATTCAAGATTTAAAGGACTAACTCAACCAATATTTATAATTTCAGTTTTTAGACTCAAGTTGAAGTGGATTTTGACCTTGTTCATATAGTGATTGTAAAGCACTTGGGTAAACCACAAAATATATACAATTGAAAAAGTGGCAAAACGAATAGCTTTCAAAGTTGGAACTTTTACAGACCTTTAAAACGCTTTCCATGTAATATGTAATCCCAGAAAGCCAATCATTGTTCTGTTTGGTGCTCGCAACCGTATCCGAAGACGAAACAGCGGCATCGGCAATTGTGTAAAGGAAACCTTCGGCTCTCCCAAATAGGTCGCGAATTAGGGTCTCTGCAGTATCAGGATCGGGAAGTGGTACGTGCCCGAATCCGAACCTGGCCACGCCTAGTGTGCCGCGAAGGAAGGGCTTGTGATGCGAGAGACCAACAAAGTGAGTTCGGTGGAGAAGTGGGTTTATGGTTCTGGTTCTGTCTGGGAAGGGAGAGAAGACCAGGTTAGGTCCAAATGAGAGTAGAGAGGCCATTAATGGCGGTTATTTTGCAGTTCTTAGGTTCGCTAATGCAAACCCTAGGATGCAGATGCCGAGTGCAGAGGGTTTTGTGGTGTCCAGACTGCCGATATATGGAATAATGTATCACACACGTGTTATTTGGATGAGTCATAGACTTTTGGGTCGACACTTTACTTGTTTACGGGGAGAATTTTCACATGCGACAGATCAGAACGCTCATCAGTGTGGCATCTCAAGTAGGTGGGATTGTGAAAGAAAAAAAAAAATAAATAAATAAAATTAGTGGGTGGATTGCTAGGAAGCCTGGGGTCAAGTTCACCACCTCCACTCAAGATGGCAAATAACCCAATCAAAATATTCACTTTATATGGTAAATTATATCACTTCTTGTTATGGTGAAAGTTAGCATTACGGTGCTGAATTCACAATTACAAAATTAAAATTTAAAAATAATAATTTGAGTTTGAAAATTAGATAATTTCAAAGTCGAAATCACTAGTACCGAGATCTCCACTCCAGATGGCAAATAACCCAATAAAAAGATTCACTTTATATGGTAAATTATATCACTTCTTGTTGTGAAATTCAGCATTACATTGCTGAATTCACATTTACAAGAGTTAAAATTTAAAAATAATTTATTTATTTTTAAAATTTTTTTTGATAATTTTGGAGTTGATGTCATATATTAAACGATGACATCAATCTATAAATAAAATTAGTTAAATTTATTTCCCGTTACGAAATTTGATGAAAGGAATGGGAAAAAAATCCTCTCCAGTTACTTTCTTACTGGATTAGTGTAGGGTAAAAAAATTGACTTGGCAGTTGAGTCATATTTACCAAAGCTTCTAATTTATACATATAACTTTCGTATATAACATATATATATGTGTGTGTGTGTGGCATTATTTTATAAATTTAACTTTTACTTTACAAGTCTCAAAAAGAAAGAACAAAACTGTTCCCCCAAAAAGTCAAAATTCCATCAAAATTAAGTATGAAATAAGCAAATAGAGACCAAATGTAAAACAAATCCAGAACAAGTTGCATTAGTAATGCTTTTTGATTAACGAGCTCTCTATTCAAAGAAACAAAATCAGACCTATTTCGGAAGAAGAACAAACGATTTACCTAAAAGGAAGAACAGAACAACGAAGACGATTTTTTTCGACGAACCAAGCATTTACTTAGTTGGAGAGGCTAGGTGGTCTAGAGGTTAACGATTTTTTTCCCGATATAGAAGAGTGGTATTTGTTTAATAATATTGTGGAGGGAAAAAATCCCCTCCAATGAGAATAATCCACATCATCATAAATAACATATCCTTGATAAGTTTATAAAGCCCACCTCACTCAAACCCAAATTGAGTTTGATATTAGTCCAAGATCATTGTTCACAAACCCAATACCATTGTTATATGACCTTCAGCCTTGTTGAAGCCCGAATTAAGAGATTATCAGCCCAACATGTTAATATTTAACATCCGGTCCGTTACTCAAGTCCAGCCGGATCAAAGTTTGTTCAGCCCAGTTACTCAAGAATGCACAAGTCCTACCAGTTGAAGGATTTACCATAGAAGGAAAATTCTGAGATAGGAAGTTCTGTAAAAGGCAAGTTTTATGTATGGAAAATTAGACAATGGAAAGAACTCTATTAGTAAAGAATGTTTATATAGAAAGAATTGGAGGACAAGCAACGCGAGTCCTACCATAATTTTACAATCTTTTGTATATAAATAGAGGCTTAGACCTCCAATAAAGGGATCAAGCAATTTACGCTTCTTTATACACTGTTCTTATTTATTTTTATTGTTTTTTGAGTGAGTTGTTTTATTTTTCTCAATCATTATTAGTTGAGCGAAATTTTGCACCTACAAATATACTCTATATAATATATTGTATAAAGTATAACATATAAAGTTATATTCGTATATATGATATAAAAAAAACAATTTTTTTTTCTTAACTTGCTCACTTGGTATGACAAGGCTATGTTGGGGAGGTGGCGTTAATCACTATAGTTCGATGCTCACTGAATGTCGTTGAGTGAGAGTAATTGAAGAGGATTTTTTATTTTTTTTCCAAAGGGGTGTAATAAAAATGATGGAAGTTCAGTTTGACAAATCATTTGTCGAGCATTAACCATATGGAGGGAGTTAATTACTTATTTTGGTGAAAAAAATAAAAAAATAAAAAATTACTTATTTTGGACGCAATGGAAGGCTTTTTGATTAATATACCATAAATGAATTGTTTATTAGTCAAACTACTTTTTCTCACACTTGTCCATATTAGGTCTGTCAAAGGATTAGATTCTAATTCGAATCCAATCCAATTACTTAGATATAGATTGAACAAAAAATTTAATAACTCGATTATGATCCGAATCCGATAATTCGATTTCTTAACAAAACGAATATGATTTATGGTAATCCGATTAGATTATATATATATATATATAATATAAATATTATATATATACAATACTTCTATCAGATTTATAATAGATGTTAAAAAAAACAAAAAAGGACTAAATGCTCTCACTCCCCCTCAGGTTTCGACTTATTACTCTCATATTAAATCTTAGCCAAAATTACTCTCACACCCCCCTTATAAAAAAATATGATAAATGTGTTTTTACTATAATACCCTTAACTTTATTAAAGCTCATGCTTATGTCATTGCTAACATGTGCAGGTCAAACGTGAAATAACAATATTACCCTTTATTATTTAATTGCCAAAACTAAAAAAAATAAAAAGTAAAAATAAAATCCTCAATTGCCACCACAGCCACCACTGCGCTGTCTACCTCAGCTAACCACAAAGGTCTTTCTGGCCCTCCTGGATCCTTGACTCCGGTGCTTCTATTCATGTCTCATGCTTACCCTTGTAGAAGCCTCTTCAGATATTGACTGCATATGGATCTCCACTCTCTGTGTCTCACCACAGAGCCATTACCACCACTGGCGTGCGTAACTGACTTGCAATCGGATTCTCACTCTTCGGTCCCAATTCAGAGGTCTGATTTTCGGTGCTCTCTAGATTCCAATGTTGCTACATTAATAGTATTTAAATAAATCTTTCCATATATATATTTGTCAATAGGTAGAGTGGTTACCAAAAGAGTTTTTTTTTTTGGTAAATCAACTCTCTATTTGGTTGCCAATAAATGGAAGGAAAATAAAATGGATTTTTTTTTTTATTTGGAAAACTAAAATGAATTTAAAAAAAAAAAAAAAAAATCTATATCATGGTTTTTTTTTTTTTTTTTGGTAAACTAACCTTTGTTTCTTTCTCTCTCTATTTGATAAATTCTATATGAATGACTTTGTAAAAATAATGACAGCCATGGCTTCTAATTTTTTACCCCTCCCAGGTAGTTGTGGTATGGTGGCGGTGGTGGTAATTGGGGGTGAACATGGTTTGTTTTTTGCTCTTTCAGTGGTATTATGGTTGTGGTGGTATTTGGGTGAGCCATAGAAGTACTGTTAGGGTTATTTTGGTCCATTAAATTGATATTATATTTACATAAAATCATGGAGGGTAATTTAGGCATTATATTTTATCAATTTGAAAATAAAGGGGTGTCACAACAAGATAACCCAAATGTATTAGCAAAATTGGCTGAGGTTTAATATGAGAACAATAAATTGAAACCTGAGGGGGTGTGAGAGCATTTAACCCAAAAAAAAAAATTAGTCATAACATTAAATATACAATAGTGTAGGGAAAACTACATATAGGTAGAATTAGGAGTATTAAATAACAAAATAGTCTATTTTAAAAATTTATTTTTCAATTTGATTGAATTAAATAAAATAATTACAAATGCATCAAGAATTTTTGTTAAGGTCCAAAATACCCTCTAAACTCTCGTTCCAAAATATCAAAATATTCTTTTTAATATCATCCATTTCAAAATACCAAAATATCATTCTTAATATCATATAATTCCAATATATATATATAAAAGGAAATTATTGGATCTTGATATGTGGTTTCTGTACTTGAAGGAACCGTTGTACGTTAGAGAAGAAAATCCATAAAAAAGAATCGAATCCATTGCAACAAGAGACAATCTATTAAAGAGTCCCTTACAAAACAAATTTATTTTACACATTCGCTATATATATATAGGATAAGGAAATAAACAGGAATTAAAGAGGCATTAATTTGGAATTATATTATCTTATGAAGGATATTTTGGTATTTTGAAATAAGATTTTGGAAGATATTTTAGACTTTAATAATAATTTTTGATGTATTTGTAATTATTTTATTTAATTCAGCCAAATTAAAATGACTATTTTGTTATTTAGGACTCCTAACTCTACCTATACGTAGTTTTCCCTAATATTTATTCACTAACAAAGCGTAAATCATTTTCTTTTTTTTCTTTTCCTTCCCTATTTTATTTATCTTTTGTTTTCTATCATTTTTTTCTTAACATTGTTTTTCATTCTCTTTTGACATTGATTTTTTTCTTTTCTTTTATTTTTTATAAGAAAAAAATTTCACTTTTATCATATCTGATTATCGAATCAGATATCCATTTATTAACAAATCGGATATGGATCCACTTATAAATAATCCTTCGAACTATAGGATCGAATCGAATCGAGTAAAATGCTTATTGGATAGGATCAGGCTAGATCCGATCCGAATCCGACCCGTTGACAAGTCTAGTCCACATACCATATGGAGGAGTTAATTCGGAGACATCCTAAGTCCTTTTGATTAATAATGAAATTATAAGAATTTTTGGATAAACAGGAGAGAAAAGAAAAGTTAGGATATCATTAGTTATAAGAGAAAATAAAAGAAAGGAAATGATAATAATAACTTGTGACGTCCCGGATTTTTTCAATATTTTTCTACCATTACTTTATTTTATTTTATTTTTGCACGGGGATTTCATTTCGGTTATTTTCGGTTTCGTGCCCGGGAGGTGTCGGGTAGGCCCCGCGATAGATTTTCGTGTTCCGAAAATTTCTCGACATCACTGTTTTCTCATTTATATTAGGAATATTTGTTTTACACTGCATTGCATCGGTTACAAGCGTTCGGGCTGTAAACGGGCTGTTTTAAGTTATTAAGCGGGAAACGGGACCCGCGATTTGACCTTTAGTATAAAAGGATGACT